TTAACTGATGGAGAAATTGAGACACAGGGAGGGAAGAAATTTGCCAAAGGCCAAGTGGCAAGGTAGTGGCAGGCCAGGAATAGAAATCATCATATCTTCTGAATTCCGGGCCATTGTCCTACCCACTAGTTTAAATTATTTCCTTTTAGTAAGTAAGTAATATTGAATGCAAATATTTTTGTACTTTAGTTGGGAAGCAGGAGCGGAGGGAGCAGGGTGAACAAATACAAGGGAATCATTAACTAATAATCTGACCATTATAAGAAGTATGTAGAATATAATCAGGAGGGGAGCAGTGGCAGCCTTAGTAAGAAAATCCCCAAGTTAGCTTGGATAACACTTGCATGGCTTCACTTCAGTCTAGCTGGCTAAACATAAGAAAACAGGTCTCCTTTGGTTTGAATATGCTCTGCTGAAGCCTATGCTGCTGTGTTTTCAGTGCTTTCTTTTCCCAGGCTGGATAAATATTGCATTTATGCAAATCCAAGATGCCTTTGGCAGGGGGCAAAGTGTGTGTGAGGTGGGGGACAGGCAGGCATCAGGGATCAGGCTGCTAGCTCCTGCCCCCCACCTGCTGCCCAACTGCCTCTCCTACCTCCTGTCCCCTTGCCACTGCTTTCCCCACTGCAGTAGCACCGGGAACAAATTTAAGATGACCCCTCCCAATAATTACACACTATACATGGAAAATTATAACAAATGTATACATTTTCCATGTATAGAATCTAATTACTGGGGCATCATCTGCTTCCCCACCTTGTACTTGAATCCAAGATGAGGGGTTTCCCCCCTCCGTTAATAGGGGGAGGGGCTCATCTTGGATTAAATATAGTATATTTGTTTTTTGAACAGGATGTATGTTCTATTTATATAACTATATCAGCCTGTCAATTTAATTTTGCATAGTAAACTTGTCTTAATTTCTTCATGTAGGAAGAAGAAAGGCGTGTGGCATCTGTCGCAGCAAGAAAAGAGGAAGAGAAGAAGCGTGAAAGCCACAGACAGACCTTGCTAAAGGTATTTTATTGTCCTAACTGTAATTGAGGTTAGATAAAACACTGTTAATGTAATTTATAGCCATACTGAACATGTTAATGTCTGTCAGTAATTTATTCCCAGATATATACATTTTTATTTATTTCCCATTTAGACTAAGCACTAGACTGGGGGGTGTTTTGCAGTTGTTGTTTTTTTTCTCTTTTGTTGAAACTGTTCCCATGTGTATTTAAAAAGAATTCATAGGAGGTGTGATGGGAACTCTGGTGCCCCTGTCCTAGGAGAATGCTCTTACTTTCAAATCATATTCACCTCCTGCTGAACCCGATTTAATATTTTATTTAAACAAAGTAGAATAGTTTCAGCAGGAGAGATGATTCAAGAACACTGTTAAGGCCAGTGATTTGAGCCCTTACTTCCACATGTGAGACCCAAATTCAGGGGTTTAATGGCACTGCCATCTTTTCTGTTTTGTGAATGGTTCTGCGCCTCTTTGAATTTAGAACTGTATTTCCAAATTTAATTTATTTTTTATTAATATACCTGAAAACAAAATGATTTGTTATGGATTGAATGAAAGGTTTTATTCAATTTGGGTTAATACCAAAATGATTTGGTTTTGAGAGGACTCAAAACATTTTTTATTTACTTCAGCACACAGACTGAAGAAAATGTAGTCTGTGCTCTATGGCACTGTCTTTAAGTACAAGGGGTCAAAAATCCAACAGTTTGTAATCTAAAGAAACTGCAAGAGGGAAAATGAAGAATTTTGCCAGTAGGTACTGCATAATGAAATCGATAGGCTAGAAAAAAGAATGGGGGTGAAATTGTAATTTATGGAAATCCAAGAATATATTAAATGTATATTATTTGTATACATTTTACCAACTAGATGATTTATTTCTTAGTAATTAAGTTTTTAAAAATTCTATGCTGTATTTATTCTATCTTTAAAATCAATACTTATTATATTTATCTTTGTACCATGGAAAATATTCATTTAAGTTTGTTTTTAAAATTGTTTTATATTAGTTCTTTTTATTAAAGTGAGGAGAAATAGATGCAGATGCCCACAAAACTGACTGATATGTTTGCCTTCCTACTCAGTGAAAAAGAAATTTGTGACATTTTTATGAAAGTGTGATCTGCTTTGTTTCTGGTCCTGAAGCTTTGAAGCATGTTTCCTTGTAGTAGGAGACACTGTTGTTTGTCTTGATGCCCTAGATCTTTCTCAAACCACTTTACCAGTGAAAATTCCCATTGGAGGTGTGAGGGCATGTATTATTCATGTGTAATGCTGTGCTCACTCAAGCTTGAACAGGAAATTGAAGGCTTTATACTTTAGTGGAGGTTTCTTTCTTCTCTGTAAAAGGATAAAACAGCATAACAACCAACTGTGGTTATCTTTTAGTTGCTTCAAAAAAAAAAAAAAGATTCTTCCCTCTCCTATGGAAATATCCATGCTTTCCTTGCATGTTCAGATTCTAGTTTCTGTTTCCTGTCTTCTTGGAAAGCCTCACAGAATTCTCCACTCCTCGATCAGGGTGCTATGGTGCACTTGGGTTCCTTGAGATCCTTTCAAAGGTCCTGTGGGATGCCATGCAATTTTAACACTGTTAGGTATGCAAACATGATTCACAAAATAAACCCAGAATTTTTGGATAGGAAATCATAGTGTTAAGACATCCTGAACTATTATGACTTCTCTGACTTTTTTGCAGCAGAAGAATTACTGTATTATTTTTGGCATTTTCCAAGGGTGCCTTGAGTCTGTTCGGGGATGCCTTGAGTCTTGAAAAGGTTGAGGACCACTGATCTAGAAGCTTGTGTAGGCAAGAGGTCCCTTTCAGCAGGGACTAAACTGAGTATTTCCTGAAATAAAATGAATAATTGCCATCAAAGCCTTTAAATATATGAACTAGATATAATCTTTTGTTAGGACATTTTAGTTTTTATGTTGGGCAGCTTCACAGCTGAGTCTCAAGCTACGTACAAGCATTCATTTGTAGTGATGGAAAACGTCCACCACTAGGAATGGGCATTCAGTGTGGAACAATCCTGTATCCCTTTGTGCTTACCTGAGACTGGGGTGGTTCTGGTTTGGGGAAAGAGTAGGCTGCTCCAGTCTTTCTACTCGTGGGGTGGGGGGGACTGGAGCAGAAGGGGAAAGACCCCTGCCAGCTTCTGACTTTGAAGGATTCTGGCGTGGGAAGTGGATAGGGGATTAGAGCAATGCTCCCTCTGTTCAGCTCCTGGTGCCCAGCAACCAAGGAGACCGAGTAGCACTGTAAGCCCACCACCCACTCCTCATCCTGGGGACTTCGATGTGTGAGGAGCTGTCTGGGAGCAGCTGGTGACTGCCTCAACCCTCCCCTTTTGCACTACAGAAGGGGTGGGAGCAGCTGCCCCCCATGCCTTTTCCAAACTGGGGTGACCCCCATTCCAGAAGGCCTGGGAGCCTTTTCCTGCAGCTCCTCTCCTCCTAGTCCCTGAAAGAAATTAAGCCTCAAATAAAATATAAAAAAGTCTGTTCTTCTAGGGAAAAACTCTCCTGGGAGTGACTTCTACCTTGTTGGAGTTGGGTTATTTTTCTCCCGGAGCTGCCATTTTTATTTTGTGAGAAAAAGCTGGAATGTCAGTACGCTATGGTTTCTCCTCGGACAGCAGCATTTCTCCCAGTAGAAATGGAGCATCTGTACGTGGCCTCAAGAAGATAGCAGAGCAGTGCAGAAGATCAAGTAGAAGAGCATAACGTAGCTCCATGTGGCTGGGATGCCTCAAGAGTATCAGGTTAAGTAGGTCTCCTAATCTTAAAGCCACTCATTCACTCCTTAGCATGTCCTCCACCCCCTAGTTTCCCTGCTGTGAAGCCAGTAGAAGGTCATCCATCACCAAGGCCTACACCTATGCTGTTTTTAACCCACTTCATTTTGCTGACGCAAAATTCAGCATGTAGTACTCATGAACACTTACTGTGCAACTGTGAAGGGACCAAACTTCAGTGAGGCATGGCAGGACATGGTGCTTGCCCTTAGCCCTTTTCCAGAGTCCTTAGACAGGGTTTCTTGTCTGATTTCTTAGCATGGGTGTTTGTCTTTGTGAAAGAAGCTGCCATTCTGTTCTGAGTTTTTGCTTGTTCCTCATCTGTGATTGGCCTAAATAAAGAATTTACACTGGTCATTTTCTTTTCTTCCTTATTGCTGTTCTCCTTCTCCATGGTTCATCTTGGAAACAATGTCTGAACAGCTCTCTCTCTCCACCCTCCAAACGAAAGAAAGAAACAAAACCAGCCCATAGAAGCATCTTCAGAGGAGGCTACAGCTTGCTTGTAATCTAAATACATTTCTGAAAAAATAGATAATTATTTTCCTCTTTAGTCCGTTTCTTTCATAGAAACAGCCTGTTTAATGAAAATTCTTGTTGTTTTAAATCCAAATTGAAATAGATCATTTTAAGTTCTGATTCCCAAGTCCAAGATTTTCCTTTAGCAATGAAGGGATTTAAATGAATTCAGAATTTTCAAGTAGTTCATCTTTAGAACAGTAGGAAAAAACAGCAATGTTCAAGCATACTACAGTTATTATTTCTCTCTGGTTATTTCCTCAGGATTTCTTGTTAATGTCTTTCAATCACTTTTCTGTGAATAGAATGTTTTTGTCCTTCATGCTATTTTGCTTGACTTTCTTGTGTTTGATTTTTGGGGAATTAACTCATGAGATTAAAAAAAAAATCACTTTAAAACTCTATAATATAGTTGCAAGGAATGTGAAATAGGACCTTTCTTGTGACTGGAAACTCAAATATTTTTTTTTAAAGACTTTGATCCCAGTATCTATAGAGTCTTGTTAGGAAGATTATTTGGATTTCAGTACTCTAAAGTCTTTGATTGGTAATGATCTTTGTAATGCTCTTCATTTCCATATGGGAGCAGCAATGACTACTAAGTTTCATGAGCTGTGTTGTTCTTTTTTTAATTCCATCTGTTTATAGGCACTTAACACTTTTTGAAGTTTTCAGTCTTTGGGTGAAATTTTGTAAACTTATCGTGGACTTTGTGTGTGTGTGTGTGTGTGTGGCAGCAAAACTATATATATTAAAGTTGTATGTATATTGCTTTTTCACATGAGGAGTATAAAATACCCCTATATATTCTCATTCCAAAAACTCATGTAACTTCTTGGCTATTCTGTAGCCAGAATGGCTATTGTAGAAAGAAGACATTTGGAGTGAAAAACACCCTCATTGATCAAAGTGCCTTCAAATGTTTTACTGTGTTGGATTTGACCTAGTTATGATCTGTTGGAAGTTAGCACTTGTGTAGTATCTTTCATGTAGGGATTTCTGTTAAGGTCTTAGAACAAGGAGTTAAGTGTTTTTTTCTTTTCCTTGAGAAAGCATTTTCAAATCTCTCTCCACATTATTTCCACATGATGTGTTGTGTGACCCTTTAATATTGTTTGATATATTCCTTTTTCTTAGTTTTCCAAAAGGAATCAAATTTCATGGCCGTATGCAGTACTGTTTGCCACCATACTAGGATGTGATGCTATGCTGATGAAAATATTCTTGTAGCTTTTTTATTATTCAGGCTTCCACCAGTACTGTTACCTCTGGGGTCTGTTCTGGTACTTCATAACAAAAGGCCACTTCCCGTTCTTGGATGCAGTTTTTCCTTTGACTCTTTTACTCACAGTGCCTGGTCAGTAAGTTGTTGTTCTATACGTACTGGTTTTTGAAAAGTGTGTATGATGCACTTGTTTATCTTATTTCTCATAGTGAAGGACAAATGAACTACTTAGCTTTTTGCTGCCTAGTGTACCTGTTTTTTGTCAGTATTTTGTAATTTGTTGATTTAGTAATACTTTTGGCAAATCAGTAATGTGGCAGAATCCCTACTCCTTTAATTCAAAATGAGGCATACTGAAAGAAGAAAAATCTTAAAACACAATGAATGTTATTGAGAATACAAGGTATTATAAGAATTCTGCAACAATTTGTGGCAAACATATCAGTATTTTTAC